CTATAACAACTAAATCAACTTACTCCCAAATACCCCAACATTAAAACTACTCAAGTCCAGCAATAACATATTAATATTTCCCATTCTTCATTTTTACATTCTGATATTTATTTAACAAGTATCCATAAACCAAACCAACTTTGCCTAATTCTAAACAAAAAGAAATAGGACCTTGCCTGTTTGAAGCTGCCACCATTGCCTGGGATGAAAAGCACGGGCACACCACTGAGCTTTTTAAGATGCTCCTTAAAATCTATCTTTTTCCATCCCTCGTGGTACAAGTACAAGCCATACTTCGCAGGAGAAATGCTCTCCGAAGATGAAATGGGAATATAAGTCGGATACATGTAGGTCATTATACATCCATTCGAAATAGGCTTCAACAAACCATATAAAGCAGCCAGACAAATCCCTACTACCACAATAATCAAAATTCCAATCCTAATTTTTGCTCTAAAACCTGGCATTTTCAAATAAAGCTTCTACTCCACAGTCTTCAAATTGCTGCAAAGTTCTCTTCAACAAACTCTCTAAATCAAACAATAATAGTTTCCTAGTTGAAATAGAACTTCAAGCTACGCGAACACAGAACAACATCATCAAACAATTAAACTAATCCACGCAACTAACACAGATTCCATCGCCATCGCCGCAATCAGATCGCCATCATCGATTACACAACCGTTCCAATAGATTGAACAGCTTCGATCCAAAAAACAATAGATCGCTTTGGACAAATAAAATGGAGATCTACAATTCAACAAAAACACAGTTAAAGAACATAAGATAATCCGAAGCACAGAAAAGAAATCAGAGTAATATAAAAATATCAATAAAAATAATAAACTCCACTATCGTAGATCTGAAACACGTCCAGTGGAGGCGGTGCTACCTCCGAGGAGAAGTCAAATATATATAGAGAGAGGGAGAGAGACAGAGAAAGAGAGAAATAGGGAAAGCGAAGGGTTACCCAACAGAGAAAGGAGAGCCTAGAAGGTGAAGATGAGCAAAATGGCTTAAAATGCTGAGACTGAGAGTATGCAACAGAATTATATTTTAAATTTTGTTAGTGCAAATTGCGACGACAAAAGAAACAAGGAGGAGCGTGCATCACAATCTGACTGTGACAGAATACACACTGGAGTTCACGCCTCCGTCCACAACTCCCGCTGTATGTTCTATTAAACCTCCAATCTATCTCTAGCCAAAGACTCCCACAGTTTGGCCTTCATGAATATATAAAAGGAGACCCAATAGATTAATTATATTTTCTAGGTAATAATATTGTTATCTGTCAACAGTGTATTAGTTGTCAGTATAATAAAACAAGTATTTTAACATTGCAATGCACGGATTAAAAAAAAATATTTTATAAAATAAACTTATGTTTATAAAAATATAAGTAATATTTAGTATAAATATTATATTTTTTGTAAATCTAAATATGAATATTTTTATTATAAAAATATATTTAAGTTGTTTATATATTCTTTTAATAATAATAATAAAAGACAAACACTTTTTTTAAACTTAGTATTGTATTGATTACTTACTTTCTCTAACTAGTTAGGAGTACTTTTGGCAAAAAAAATTACAAAGTTGTACATAAACATGAATAATATTCTTTTATAAGAAGTTTTAAGAATTTGTTCAACCAATAACATCTTATAAAAGGAATATAATTAACTAACTAAATCTATCCTATGAGTTTATTGATAATACAAACACACAAGAAAAAATATAACACATTATTATTTGCTATCTTCATGCGCAATTTTCTTTACATAGACTGGTAGGTTCTAAAACTATAATTGATGTTTTAATAGTTTCTATATTTTTTTTATGTATTCCCAACTAAGTTTAAGGTTAAAGTACTTAATTACAGGCATTTAAAATAGTAAACATTCAATCAATATCTTAACCATTTCAACTACCAAACAAATTTTAAAAACATTAATCTATCACAACACCTAATTTATTTCCTGCAAGATTCTCACAGGTGCTCTTCACAATTAAATTAACATATTTATCAAAATCTCACTACCATATTCTTTTTTGAAATAAAATTCTTAAATTCACAAGAACCAACTTTACTTTATTTATTGAAAGAAATATATCTGCCAAAACAATGAAAAAAGGATACAAGTTTTCCTCATTTTGTTAAAGAAAAAAATTAGAAGAGAAAGTGTTAAACTTTCTTTTATAAATCATTGATTTTTTTATGATATAGAAATGATTTTGAGAAATGTCTGTTTTTTAAAATCTAAATTTTATTTTTGAAATATAAAATAATAAAACAATGGACACAAAATCCTTTTTAACAAGTATGAAACATCTGATAGCCTAGTTATAATAAAGCCCCTTTAAGTCTCTTAAATATCTAATTGTATTTATCAATAATTTTTAAAAAAATAATTACTTAACGTAATGAAAACACGTTGATATTGTTATAGGGTTACTAAAAAAATAATAATGTTATTAACTTATAAAAAGTTTCATTTTAAAAATAATTTTTAGACTTAAAAATATATATTATTCAGAAAAGGTTTCAAAATTCACAATCCCCAAAGTCACTTCCCCCAAAAGCTCAGTTTTAAAATAGAAAAAAAAATGAGTGAAGAATAAAAAAGAGCAGACAATGTCTAACAGGTCTAATACCGATGACTGGAAACTGCTACCTGCTACCGCTATCGGCAGTCCTTATGAAGGTCATCATCAAGAGTACCGACATGCAGAAGGAGGTTGTTGATATCGTTGTTGCCATTAGTTTTAATCACTTTCTTTTTCATTTTCTTGGTTGCATGGTTCACTCTTTTGGATTTTGTCTCTGGGTTTTCTTGTGCATGTTGTATTGTTTGGTATAGTGTTGACTTATTTTCGTATTAGTAAAAAAAAAATTGAGTTTTTTTCATTTTACACTAGTGGTTATTAGGAGTTTGATTTTCACTTCACTCTCCTGGTTACTGTTATTGAATCGATATTTTTGCAATCTGCATGAGTGTTGTTTTGTTTTTTCTTTGTACAGATATATTAGTTATATTTTCTTCCAATAAGGTGTTTACCAATATGGCTTTTGATGTTTCTTTTTGCATTTCGTGTTCTTTGTTTTGGAGGGTATCTTATCTTTTTTTATTGGATTAGGGATTTCTCCATCTCCACTCAAATTTCTCCTTCCTTTGGAGTTTTTGTGATGACAATACTTCCAATAGTGTCTCACTATTGAAATCTTGCTTCTATTAGATGACACAGTTTTCCTAAAAGAGACACCACCCACATTAAGATCTTTTTCGTTTGTTTTTAAATTTCAATGGAGTGTAAATTTTTTACACCCTTTGTGAACATTCACGTAAATTCTGCCTTCACATTCCAACCCTCTTTAAAAATACATTAAATTGCAACTCCCTCCAAGATCTCAATAAAATCATATTTTAATTATTTTCTGCAAATTGGGATAGCTACGGGCAATAAGAGGTTTTGTACAAGAGGAGGTGAGAGTCAAAACCTTGATTTATTTAGACCAAAATATAAGGTTTAAATTAAAAATCCTGTACTATTAGGTTCATAATACAAAATTCAAAAGAATTCAATGATTACATAAAACAGAAAATCTTTATTTTGACTTTAGCTTTTTTTATTGATTATTTTTGTATTTGTTTGGTCATGTTTCTTATCAAACATTTAGTTAGAGAGTTGGGGTTGGATTGAAGTTGGGGTTAGAGATTTGAATTTGGGTTCGGTTTGGGTTAGTTTAGGTTTGGGTTGCGTATGGATTGGGTTTTGGTTGGGTTAGGTTTGGGTTGGGTTGGGTTGGGTTGGGTTGGGTTTGGGTTTTGGGTTGCGTTGGATTGGGTTGGTTTGGACTGGTTTGGGTTTGGTTTGGGTTTAGTTGGGTTTGGGTTGGGTTTTGGTTTGGGTTGGATTAGGTTGGGTTGGATTGGGTTCGATTTGGTTGGATTCGGTTCGGTTCGGTTCGACTGAATTGGGTTGGATTCTTCGGTTTGGTTCGGTTCTTTTTAGGATGAACCAAATCTAGAATGAAAGCCTTGAAAAGATCATGGTATATAAAGGGACAAAAACAATGCCTGTTTAATTAATGCTAAATGTCTAAGATGGTGGTTTTATGTTGTGTTTTGAGATTTTTTAAGAGAGGTTGAGTCTAACTCTTTAAAAAATATGATATGAAAGATCACTTGATTTGATGTTAAGGTTTTTTATTTTATTTTTTACTTTACTCGATTTTATTAAAAAACTTTAAGTGTATGTTTTAAAATTTGATATGGGTTTAAATTTTAAAATTAAAGTAATATAATTATTCTGACATTATGTTAAAAAAAATTATGTATCAAATAAACTTAATTTATTCTATTTGATATATTTAAATATCTTTAAAACTTTGTTTAATACGTTTAAATGTCTATCTAAAACGAACGCGTTAACATGTGAATATAAAATTATGCATAATATGTGAAAATATTTAATAACAATGGATTAAAAATTTTGTATTAATTTATTTTAAAAACTTGAAAATCATAATATATTAAAACATGCGATGTAATCAAATTTCAGTTGACATTTAAATTTAATAACTACAAACATTTTTAGCTATACATTTTAAAAATACAATATAAAAGACTAAAAAACGATAGTAAAATCCAACACTATGAATCATATACTGATGTTTATTTAACGAAATTATGAAAAGAAACTAACTATAAATTACTAGTTATCCATGTCTCCCACATTTATTAGTTTATAATAGCGACGAATCAAGTACTCCAATTTTATTAACAGAGTAGAAGAAAATATGGGATAAGTATAATTAAATATGGCCATGTTTTAACATGTAAATAAGTAACATTAATAACTTTTGAGTTGTGCAATGATATAATTCTTTATTTATTACATAAACAGGTATATTTCATTTTAAACACTGATTCCACATCCGAGCTACTAAATTACGATGCTTGGTAGTCATTGCGTTTGGCAGATTGCGAAAATGTTCACTTCATGGCCGGCGGAATTACAATAGCTGAAACAATAACATATACCATCACTTATTTCTTTCTTTACATTTATCATATTGATAATAATAAAGATTTAATATAATTTTATCATTTACTTAATTTGTATTCAATGTAATTATTATATTTTCTACAAAGAATCAATATTGTTTAAAGGTTAATAACTCTGTTAATACAATTATTTATTTTTTTATATGTTTACTGTCCAATCTTAAAAACAAAACGGAATGAATGATATTAACACTTATCTAATATAACAGATTGAGTTTTTCTAAAATAATATATGAACTATATTTAATTAAAAACAAATAAAAAAAGAACATTCAATCATTACTATAATTCTAAGAATTAAAAATAGTATTAAAAAGGATATAAGTTAATAAAAATTTGAAAAAAAAGCAATATTTTATATATTTTTTAACTTAATTTGTTGATAAAAACTAAAAACTAATAAGTAAATAAATCACTGATATAAAATAAAACAATAGTTGAGAGGTTAATAAAGTGTACTTTTTGAGAAAGATTTTATTGTTATTCATCTAAATGAATCTTAAGAGTTCTACAAAAATGGTTATTTAATTTCTAAACCATCCAATTTTTCTTATGAAAGAATATATGTGTATATGTATATGTATATATTATGAAATGGTTTGAAAATCCTTTTATCTGTTTACAATAACATTATCAAAACTCAAAAGATTGTAGGTAAAATATGTTTGTGAACTAAATTGACTGTAAAGGTTAAAAATATCTCATATTATTTTGTTTGTTTATAACATATTTATTATATAAATAACACAAAAATCATTCATTAATTGTTTATATGAAAACATAATTTTGCTATAACCCTAAAGAATTTTAAGCAGAAAATGTTAATTACCTCCGCAATGCATTCCTGCGGGAAGATTCAAACCACAAGAGCGTCCGATGAACACAGTTTTTGGAATACTGACAAGGCTTGCAACTTCTTTGGTAATGAGTTTGCAAGCACATGGCACGTTGAATTGTTTGAGCACTGCACAACAAGCTGCTGAAGGTTTAATCTTTGGTCCTGTTTTCTGCACAAACTGTTGGCACTGCGATATCAGATCCGGCAAACTTCCTCCACATTGCGCAGAAACCTCTTTTGTGTTACAGATTAAACATCCTGCGATCACTAACATTGTCAATGTCAAATACGTGCTGCCACTACCCATTTTTTCTCTCAGGTTTGTACGATAAATCCCTCAATTCTGTCACATCGATGCTTACAAAATTTGCGCCAATGTGAATGAGTTGGTGAACATATTTATATATGTATAGATGTGCGAATACGAATAAACACAATTTCGATTGTTTCGGTTTTTTTAATAAGGTTGTTGTGACTTTTGCTTTCTTTACAAATGCTACTTCCATATTCAAAACAATGTCGTGAGAAACTACGCCGATTACCATAGAATTGAACGTGTTCTGAAATTACCCAAATGATCCTGCATGTGCTATGTTACAAGGAAAGAAAATCGTCAAATTGAGGATATAATTGTCATTTAGCTTTACCTTTGCAACATGGGAGAACTAAAGTAAATAGATAGTTAATACTTAAGAGAAACATGGTATCTTTTCGTTAATACTAAGAGAAACAACACATGTTATTCTTATTAGGTTTTTGTTTGTTGGAAAGTAAATAGCGAGAAAAGCATTTGTTTGAAGTGAATGACAAATCATGCAGCAGTTTATGCTTTAGGCGGCTGAAAGGAAATAAAAGGATGGAGAAAAAAATGCTATACCATTTATTTCATCCAAATGTTAATTTTATTGTCCCGAAAATTTTCAAGGGAATTTTTTACCATAATAATGGACTTAAAATGTGTTTTATAGAGCTAAATCAAAGGTTGATGGCAAAAAAATCCGCGCGCGCCGATATCTGCGGATAAAATCCGTGACGGATAGTTGATATCCGCGGATATTTACTACCCGCAACCTGCGGGTAGCAGATATTTTAATACCCGCTTATAAATGGGTCGGGTGCAGGTATTATACTATCCGTACCCGACGATACCCGCTACCCGCAAAAAATTAAAATAAAAATTTAATTTATATTTTATTAAATTTAATTTAATTAAAATTAACATTAATTTATATTTTACAAGATTAAATTTAATTAAAATTGAATTTAAATTTATATTTAATTTATATTTAATTTATATTATATTTTATATATTTTTTATAATTCTATTTAAATTTTATTTTAATAATTTATTAAAATATATTTTTTTAAATATTTGTGGGTATCAGCGGATATCCACGGGTATCCGCGAGTTTTAAAATACCCGCGGATATTTTTGAAACAGATATCCGTGCGGATAGCGAATCGGGTAGTGGGTGGAATTTTTTTTTGTCGGATCGGATTGCGGATAGGCACTATGACCCGTTGCTATCCCTAGTTACCATGTGCACATAAAAGAAAATTGTGTTTGATCTATATCTTGTGTGCCCAATACTCTAGATTGGGTTTTGCCCGAAGCTGTAACCAAACACTTTTAATAAATATAAAAAAAAACTATAGTTTACCTTTTTATTTATGCACCCCTTTCATATTCTTACTTTCTTCTATATTTTTACCAAGTTACATTGTATTATTTGTATAAACAATGCTTAAGGGGTGAAATAAAGTGACCGGAGCAAGATCATAAACCTTTTCGTTACGAAAGCGGTATTTAGAAAACAAAAGGGGCGTAGATAGCAAATGCCAAACTATAGCCTCCCAAAACTAATATGGTTGAAAGCAATCTTGGGCCCAACAGTATAAAGAAATGTTATTTGTTTTTTTTTTATGTGATACGTTTGTAGTTATGAATGGTCTATGATAATTATTTTTTATTGATTATATATTTATAATGTTTTATTTAGTAGTTTACATTTTTAAATGAGATGTTACAATTTATGATGTGTTAGAAAATGGAGTATAAAAAAATACAAGAATGAAAAAAGTATTTTTTAAATGGAAAATTAATACTTTTTGTCTAAAAGTTATGAAGGTAATGTATGTATGGTAAAATAATCACTTTTTATTTGTTAGCATTTTATTTTTCTAAGTGTAGTTATTATTAAGGTAAAATTATATTTAAAAAACATAGTATATCTGTTTGTGGTAATAAAAGGATTGAACTCTTTACTAAACATGTGAACATGAAGAGTGGTTATGAGTATTGTAAGAGTTTTGCATGTGTTTATCACATGGTTGACCTTGAAATGTAGTTTTTTTTTTCTTTTTTTTATAGTCAATTTGGTTAATTTGATATATTATCAAAACTAAAAATTACGGAAATTACAAAATATTGCAAAGAACTTTTTTTTGTGATATAGTCTGAGATACTGTTTTAATAAGTATTTAATATTTTGTAATAGATATTTACAATTTTGAAGTGTTACACCTCGTACATGCATTTGAATAAAAATAACTTTTATTTATTTCTTCATGTAATAAGAAGATGTAATAAGAAGATGTAATAAGAAGATTATTATTGACAAATGTAGATTAAATTAACTAGAGAATGTCCATTTTCGAATGAATTGGCTGAATAAATATTAAGATATGCATTTGTTAGCTGATAATTATATATATATATATATATATATATATATATATATATATATATATATATATATATATAATATGTTTTTAGATTGAGTTTTGTTTCGGGTCTAAATTTGAAGTATCTATAAAATACTTTTCTACATTTTTTCGGGTTATCTTAGGTTGTTTTGAATATACTTACTCAAGTTTCTTTCAGGTTCTTAATGTTCAAACTCTATACGTATGATACCTGTTAAAAGGATTTTCAAGTTAATAATTTAATTCATAAGAGCTATATTTAAATTTTAAATTTACAATAAATATAATCACTATCTTCTCACATTTGATTTGTATTTATAAATTTTGTGATAAACTTATAATTAATAACATGATATTCAGGATCTAACATCTAATAAATAAAACTTACTAAAAAAATTTGATTATAAATTGTACTTATAGTTGATTAGGACTACAAATCATCTAATTTCAGTTATTTTTCTGTCATCATATGCCTATACCGTACGATTAGACACTACGATCATACGATATAACTTTAAATACCTTGTATTCATATGTTACTTTCTAAGATCATGGACGTATTTGGTAACAGTATGCAACACATATGCAATGTATAATATGATGTGTGGTGTACATAGATATCTCCCCAGATAGAAAAACATAATTTTATTTAAAGTGAGCACAATTCCAAGTTAAACAAAAAAGCAATGTTTAAAAATACAACTGTTCTATATGATGTCATCTTTAATGCATGACTTGTCAGTTATTTTAAAATGCACTTACTTTTACCACAATGTATCTAGTTGAGTCTGAGTTCAGTTTACTATAATATTTTCAGTTTAATTTAATTCAATTCAATAGTCTAATTTTGTTGGATTTATTATTTTTAATTGTTTAATATATTATTTATTGTTTTTTGTTTACTTTTATCACCTTGTTCATAAAAACACTCAACCACGTTTTTACCTTTTTAAAGGACAACCATGTAATCTTTTAAGTTAAATTTCTCAGTTTATAAAAATACAACATTTTAACCCTCAATTGACATTTTGGGTTTTATAAATTGATACCATACGCTGATTATGATTTGAATTATTACAAATAAAATAAATTATAATTGGCTAACTTTTATTTGTTGTTATTTGGATGAAGAGTGGTCATATAAACTATTGATTGTTTCAACTAGATTGAAACTTTTATTAAAAAATTATATTTATCACACATCTATTGTTATTTGGATTTATTACCAATTCTATTTGGGTAATATCTCAATATTAAACAACACAAATAACTATGTAAGAAAATGGTTAAATCTTCATAGTAAATACTCCCAAGCCATTTTAAATTTAATATTTTTATGAAGACTAAATTAATTAAATATGTTATATCATTTATGACAAAAAATAATAATTAAAAATAGACGGTATAACATTCAAAGATGGTAAAAGCAGAGTTTCAGATAGAATAAGAAGGGAAGAAAATCAACCAATCCATCATCAAACCAACTCGCAACTGCTCTGAACAATACATTTATAATTTGTCTTTTATAGAATAAAAAAATGAAATCCAAATATAAATTATTATAAATAAATAAAGAAAAGTGTCTGAAAATGGGAAGAATTTGTTGTTACTGTTTGATTTTCTCTCCTCTCTCCAGTTCGCACTAGTTAGTTTGACCCACTTCAACATTTTCAACATTAGAGAGAGAGAGAGAGAGGGAGAGAAGGAGGGACTCGTTTGCCTTTCTTTTCTTCCCAACTTCCACATCCTTTCTGTTTCTCTCTCTTCCCTCGCACTTTCGTTTTCTTCATTTCAATTCCCAAACACTTCGAATTGCTCTCTGTTCTTCTGCTGCACCCAAAGCCACCACAAGGGTTTGCTTCTCTCTCTTACATCACTATTTTTTGTTTGCTTCTTGATGAATTCTTTAGTGTTTTTCATCGTTTATTGTAAGTAATTGCTCATGGAGATCACTTGCTGCGTTGGGATTGCAGTGTAGCGATGGAGTTTGTGGGGAAGACAGTTAAGAAAGAGGTGAAGGGGTTTGGGATTATTTCGGGAACAGTGAAATCGTACGACTCTGCGTCTGGTTTTTTGGAGATCGTTTACGAAGATGGTGATTCTGAGGAATTGGAGTCCTCTGACGTGGCTTCTCTCTTGCAATTTCAACCGGAGAGTGTCAAGGCTAAGCCTCGAGTTGGTCGGAAACCTAAGAAGCGTTGCCGGGTCGAGAGGAAGCGCGATGTTGGAGCAGGTTCAGGTAATGTTAGAGAGAATTTGGTGGCGGAGGGTAGTGGTTTTAGGGGGGTTTTGGATGGGGATGTTTCTTCTGGTAGTGGTGGGGGTTTGGATTTGGATAGTGGTGTGTTAGAGAGAAATTTGGATGGTATAGTTGGGAATGGAGGGAATCTTGAGGGAAATGCTAATGGGAGTAAGGAGGAAAATGGGGTTAGAGAAACTCCGATAGAGGAAACTGGCTTAGAAGATAGTTTGAACAAGAGTTTATCCGGAAATGTTAGTTGTGTTAAAGATGGACTTGATTTGAATGCTAATCTGGATGAGGATTTAAATCTAGATGTGAGTAATGAGGATCGTTTGAAGAGAAGAGATTGCATTGATTTA